AGCAACAAACTACTCAGTATCAGACCCCGCAACAACAACATACATCATCAACTTTCTACCACGCTTCTGGTCCATCTCAGCAACCTCCACCCCCACCACCTATCTACACTCCGTTGGGTGGTCGGGTTAAGAGGAATCCGCGCGCAGTTGTCCAGCGGGCTCGTGAAGAAGGAGGAGGTAGAGAGGGCGGAAGAAGGGGCCGAGGAGGTAGTGGAGGAAGAGGAAGAGGAAGAGAAGGGGAAGTGGAGGGAAATGAAGACAACCAGTGAACTATCTATGCCGTTCTAATTTAGTTTGGTCTTGTGTTGTTTTCCATGAACTATCTATGTTTCTAAATTTGGTTTGGGTTTGTGTTGTTTTCCATGAACTACCTATGTTTCTAAATTTGGTTTCGGATTGTGTTGTTTTCCATGAACTATCTATGTTGTCTAAATTTGGTTTGGGTTTGCTTAGTTTACCCCCCATGTTCTACCAAAATGAACAACAAACGCCCTTTATTACAATCACTCAACAAGATTAAAACAAGTAGTCCAAATTAAACATCACAACAACGAAAATTACTCAACAAGATTAAAACAAGGAAGTGAACAACAGCAGCATCAAGGTTGGTTCGGAATTGGCCCCGAATCTTGCTCTAGAGGTGGACCTGGGCAACGCCTCTTGTCATGACCCGGTTGTCTGCACTTTGAGCAACGCTTTGGACCCCGTCGGGCACGTTGTGATTGGTCCATTTCATTGTGAATCCTTTCGGTCCTAGGACGACCTTTGGTGCGCTTTAAGTGCAACGGTGGGATAATCAACTTCCCATTGTCTACAGGCCAATAAGCTTCATCCGGCAGGGGGCTGAAACTTGACGAGTAGGAGTTCCTGATCGCCTGTTCCGTGTAGTAAGGACTAACCAAACTGTAAGCGTTGAGGGTTATCGACTTAGCTACTGCCATTGCATGTGAACAAGGTACTCTTCTGTTTTGATACTTTTGGCATGTACACTCTCCGGTGCGAGTTTCTACGTGTAGAGTAACAGATTGACGATTATGCCCACGTCTTCCTCCACCCCAGATACCTGTTTGCACAGCAAAAATACCTTCATTGCGGTTGAACAGAACAACTCTGTGCTTACCTGATTTCTCTTCGATCTTCTGCATGCCATCAAATATATGCTTAGCTATTGAATGACCAGCACGCTCCCTCCCTATAGCAGCATCCCGTCTCTTCACAAACCACTCGTTTACCTTCCAGTATGTCATCTCCACTAGGACAGATACAGGCATTGCCCTAATGCCCTTGTAGACTCCATTTATGCTCTCGCCATGGTTGGTAGTTGCAATTCCGAATCTAGCCCCGTTGTCCATGTGAAATGTCCACATGTGCAGATCTTGACCTTCTGCCCATACTGCTCCCGCCCGGTGTATTTGACGGATCGTCTTCATCTTCTGCTCGTACTTTTTTTGTTGATGTGCAACCGCTACAAGACCGGAGAATTAATAATTAAGCCATAAGAAATTTCATTTGAACAATAAACCATGAACAAGCACTGAATTACATTACTACCTGCACTCCACAATTGATCTCTTATGTCTTTCTTCTTGCCAAATTTGTGTTGGAAATTGGCTAGGAAGTGACGAATACACCAGCGCCATGTCCATCCCCATTCGTCGGGGAAACCACGGACGGCGTGTTTAATCTCGGCATGTCGATCCGATATAATTGTAATACCCATTCTTTGTGTGACGTGGGCGTGTAGCTGGTCAAAGAACCATGCCCAACTTAGGTTGTTCTCCCCTTCAACTAATGCAAATGCTAAGGGAAAAATACTTAAATTTCCATCAACCCCAGTGGCAATAAGAAGAGTTCATTTATACTTCCCAGTAAGAAAAGTTCCATCAACCTGTTAAAATGAATAATGAGTTAGTAAAAATTGAAATTAGTAAAGTAATGAAATAGTACAATATTTTGAGTCCGTAATATACCTGAATCACTGGCATACAGAAGGGAAACCCGTCAATGCATGGCTTGAATGTCCAGAACAGACGATGAAACATCAACTCGTTCTGTACTCGAACTTGATCTTCAGTTTCTACGTTGTTGTACCACGGCAAGAAAACCGTCCCAGGGTTGGACTCCTCCATTGCGGACATTAGTCTGGGGAGTAAAGCATACGAGTCTTCCCAATCACCGTAGACCTCAGCCATGGCCTTCTGCTTCCCATGCCACGCCTTCTTATACCTTATGGTGTAGGAGTGTCGATCCTTCACCTCCGCCATGATAGCTTTTATCTTGATATCTGGTTGTGCCTCGATAAGGTGCTTAATGGTTCTTGCCACTTTTTTTGCTTTCAGTTGCCGGTGATCCTGTGAAAGTATGGTTGAGGAGCATATGTGGTTGTTCTCTACTGTCCGCATGACCCAGACGCCCTTTCTCTTCATATATGCAGCACGAAGTTGCCACATACAACCCTCTCCAGCATTCTTACAAATGACATGCAGTTGTCCCTTGTCAGAATATTTTACATTCCATTCGAAGTTACGCCGCATGGCTTCTTCGCTAAAAGCGTCTTGCACATCGGCTTTCGAAGTGAACGCCATACCCACTTCCAAATTAGCAGTCGGATTATACACAGGCATGGGCCGAAAGTCAGGGGCATCGTTCTACTTCTGACCATATAAAAATTGATCAGGAACCTCTGTGTAGTAAGGCGTTGGTGCCTGTCGGAACGCCACCTCACTGTCATCGATATCGTCCGTATCTTCCTCCTCACTGACTGATCTCAAATCTTCCTCACTTTCATCGTCACTGGAGGCGAATGGATAGCTCGGCTCAGGATGGTCATCGTTACCAGCATCGCCTTCTTGGTCATGCGAAGTACGCCCAGATCGAAGGGTGTTTTCAATGTCACCCCACTATGGACCCCAAGCAGGCCATTGATCACCGTCGGGCTGAACGATATCGACGGCAGTCTCACCACCATGTTGCAGGTATTCTTCCCACCCAACACCTCCTTCAGAACTACCTCCTCCGTAGTTGCTTGAAGTACCTCCCCAACCATACCCTCCTGCAGAAGTACCTGCTCCGTAGTTACTTGAACTACCACCCCAGCCATACCCTCCTGCAAAACCATCATCATAAGAATACTGGTGAGAATGAGTTTCACCGACCGGCTCGGTCTCGACATACACCTCTGCAAGCCGCAACCCGTTCTCAGATATGAACTGTATAATCATGTTCACCGCGTCATCATCATTTATGACAACTTTTTCGTACATGACTCCGTCAGCACTCATGTTGGGATACCGGTAAGTAATTTGACGAACTCTCCTTTGCCCGCCCGTACAAGTCCTTTCTGCACACTTGTCATGGAGTTCTTGCCACGAGAATCTCGACTCAATTTTAAGCATATTGGATTCGCCATTTTCATAGTCGATCCCAATGTTCGAGTTTGTCACCCGACCATTCCACCAAATAATAAGCCGAAACTTCTTAAATTTACCCATGTCTGCAATTTATAATAATTAAGTATAGTATACAATTAGTACATTATGGATACAAAAACAATATCATCCAAACCCATAATAAAATGCAACTAATTGATCTATTATGAGAAAACTAAACAAATTAATCTAATTTAGTACTAACTAACTAACATCTATCATATCATAATTAATCTAAATATATCATAACATATTTTCCAATAACCGCAATTCACTAAATACAGACATATTCATACTAACAGCTCAACATGTAAAAAATACATACTTATAACATACTCAATCCCGATCTATCATGAGAAAACTAAACAAATTAATCTAAATTCAGTACTAACTAACTAACATCTATCATATCATAATTAATCTAAATATATCATAACATATTTTCTAATAACCGCAATTCACTAAATACAGACATATAATACTTACACATCAAAATGTAAACAATACATAATTCTAACATACCGAATCCGACGAGTTTCTTGAGCAGTAAACCAACTCCAAACCAGCTGAGAAATCGACTAAAAAAACAGGGGTTGTTGTATTTGGTTGCTGTAAGGCAGCAGGAAGGAAGTGGGCGTCGGAATTTATAGGAAAAAATGGCAGCTAATCACTGCTTTGGACAATGGCGGTGAACACATCATCGCTGTTGTCCAAAGCGGTGATAGCTAGGTCGCTGTGACCTAATTTTTCCACCTACCAGGGTTCTAAAACGTGGTTAATTATCACCGTTTTGGTCAACGGCGATGTTTTCACCGTTTCCCATAAACGCGGTGAGGCGATCAATTATCACCTTTTTGTGAAAGGCGAGGATGTAATCACTGTTGTGGTCCAAGGCGGTGAAGCAATCACTGTTGTTGTCCGAGGCGGTGAAGCAATCACTGTTGTGGTCCGAGGCAGTGATGTGTTCCCCGTTGTACTCAAAAGCGGTGATACCTTCCCGTTTTGGATTAAAGCGGTGATCTTCATCACTGTCGAAGACAAAGACAATGATGTTGAAACTGCTGTATTTTGAGAAAAAAATTTATAAGTATTGTATTTGAGGAATTTTTTTTAATAATTAGAGTATTTTGGAATTTTTTTCCTAAACTGTTCCCGCGTCTCAAGAGCCAGCGAGCTAGATGAGACACTTATGTGCTTTTGGCCTTTTACCTTCTTCCTCTCTCCCCTCTGCTCCCTCTCTCTTCACCGTCCAGTTATTTTCCTCTTCGATTCTGCTCCAACGTCGATCGTCGCTGACCACCGCCGCCTCCACCGTGGACTCTCTCCTCCACCGCCGGGATTCAGGAACTCGGTCAGGAGCCACCCACGCTTCCCTAGCTGCACTGAACAACCACTATTTACAGTTAAGTCATATTCTCCCTCCTAACTGAAATCCCCCATCCCCTTTATCTGCAGCGAAACCCTAGAGTGTAGCATTCATCGGAACATATATTTCTAGTCCTTGTGGAAAATGGTGATTCATTTTAACCCTCTAGCGTTCGTTCCTGATCCTTGCTATTTGTGGTGATAGGTTCGCAATTGTTTCCTGCTTTCAAAAACGCCATGAGTGAGTTTGGGGAAGCTGGAAGAAGGACTGTTGAAGAAGAAGAAGAAGAAGAAGAAGAAGAAGAAGAAGAAGAAGAAGAAGAAGAAGAAGAAGAAGAAGAAGAAGAAGACGATGATGCTGCAGACAGGTTAAGCCAGCTTCCAGACTTCATTATTCATAACATCCTTTCGTTTCTGGACACCAAATCAGCCGTTCAGACCTCTGCATTGTCCCGATCGTGGAGCTCCACGTGGAAGCATGTCCCTGTCTTCGATCTTCGTCGGGATTCTTTCCAGCATTACTCGAGTTTTCGTAGCTGCGTGGACAAGGTTTTGTCTCTCCGCCATCCTCTCAATGCACGCAAAGTTAGCTACTCCGACGATGAGAGTTCGGAGGACAGAGACCCTGATCTGTTGATTAGGCTAATCCAAGCTGCGGCTTCAGGTCAGACTACTCAACATTTGGTGATTAGCTTGAAAGACTATGGGGATCATCGAGCTTTCAGATTCTTCGAGCTGTTCGGCTCGATCTTGAATTCCAATTTCGAAACTCTGGAACTGAATGGCGTCCCATTGGATAGGGGATATGAATCGACTGGTTTTCGGTTGCTGACGAGCCTACATTTAGACAACTGCCTAATGCTTTGCACTTTTGAAGGGGATCTTGATCCTTTTTCTAAATTCCCAAGTCTGGAGAACCTTGTCTTGACTGGTTGCACCAGTTGTGGGATCCTCAGGGTCTCCGGGTCGAACTTGATTAGCCTTAAACTTGGGCGTATGTGTCCGGACATTGAAGTATTTGCCCCGAAGCTCAGGTTCTTCGGTCTTTGGAATGACTGGACGCTCTTACATTTCTCAAGTTTAAGCCTTCCTTCCCTCGATCATGCTCGTATCCAATTTCATGTCCGTCACATGGAAGATGACTGGGAACGGGTCGAGGTGGAGCAAGATTTGATCATCTTGTTCCAAGGTTTGCGTAATGTGAAATCTCTGAAGCTGCATCTCTGGACCATTCAGGTATACTTTGCTAAGTAAATGCTGTGAATGGTAAGTGATTCCTTCCTTCTACCTTGAATGTTAAGTTGGGTTTTTTGTTCTATGTAGGCACTGAGTGAATTGTTCGAGTTTCTGGAACAACAACCCTGTCCCTTTACGAGATTGGAGTTGCTGATTGTGGAAGCTGAAGATATTCCTTCTCAACTGGTGGATTACTTTTTTAAAGGAACTACTGCTAAACCAAAGATCAAGTTTCTGGGGACTTAGGAATAGCCCCCACTTTGACATAGCAGGTTGGTTTTCTTTATTTGTTTTCAAGTCACTTAGGAATAGTCAAAGATCTTTCTGATCCAGTTGATCTCTCTATATATTTGGTTAATTGTAGGAAACAAGGATTCCTACAGGATGAGAATTGGGGGAATTAGCTAGATCAATTAGGGATTGATCTAACTAGGGATTAGAATGGGGGATTTTTAGAACAAGAAGAGGGAAGAAGAGGAGCTGCTGCCGCAGCTTTGGAGCAAAGAGGGAGAGAGAGAATTCGCAGGAGAGAGGGAAGAGAGAGGTTTAGGATTTAGGTTTTGGTTCTGTTATTGCTTAATCTCAAAATAAGACCCTATTACAGATTATATAACCTGTCTAATTCCTAACTGCTACCCGAATAATAAAACGTAACAATTAACTCCCTGTTTATTCCCCCAAATACCCAAATAATATCCCAATCAATAAAAACCGACTCTAATACGAAATAACCAAAAACTGCAAATAATTGTGTTTCCCACATCCCCTCATCCTTCGAAAAACAACCTTGTCCCCAAGGTTGTTCCTCCAGCTCACTAGGCATCTTCCCCTCCATTTCCATCATCCTCAGCTTCTTCTTCTGCTTCATCTTCCCAGCGCCCAACCAGCATCATCAAATCCGGCTTCGGGCACTGATGACCAATGGTGAACCGGCCATCACAGTTGAAGCACTTGCCCTCCCGCCTCTTTTGCTCAATCTCTGCCGGTGTCAGTCGCACGAATCCCTTCGGTATGGCCCGCTGCCCCACCCTGGCCACCGGAGCTGGTCCTCCACCGCCCGCATTGGCCCCAGTCGAGCCTCCCCCGGGTGCCCCACCTATGCCGCCACTAGCACTGCTGCTTCCTCCTCCTCCGCTTGGCTTTGAGAAGCGGCCAATGGTGCTTCTCCAGCTAGCCAGTTCTTCCTTCTTATGACCTGCAAGACGAAAAGCAGTTTTCACGAAATCGGGCTCAAACACCCTGACTGCCGCTGCTATCTCGGGTTTGAGACCCGCCATGCACAACCCCACCAAGGTGTCCTCCGAGACTCCCTTGCACTGGTTCCCCAACTTGAAGAACTCCGCCCGGTACTCTGCCACTGTGCCGGTCTGCTTCAGCTTTGCCAACTGCTCAGGAGCCCACCCATCTGACTTCCCAAACTGATAACGGAGCTCCTCCTGAAACATGGGCCAGGTGATCAAGGTTGCTGCTGCTGCATAGGATCTCTCCATCCACTCCCACCATTGGAGCGCATCGCCCTCCAGATAGAACGATGCCAGGTAGGCTTTCCTCTCCTCCGGAATTGGGTGATTCTTAAACCACCTCTCAACTGCATACAACCAAAGACCTGCATCCTCCTGCCCATTGAATTTTGGAAACTCAATGGTAGGAGGCTTAGCTCGAAAAACTATCCCATCCATTCCCTCATAGTTTGGATACTGGGACCCATACCTGTCATTTCCTGGCGTCATCCATGGCTGCCCCCATTGAGAGCACTGCATCTGGTTAGGATTCCCATGTCCATAGTCACCCGGATAGCAACCCGGCTGATTCGGGTATTCCCCTGGGACATGAGGCGCCTCATAATGGCCCTCTCCTCCTCCTGGACCCCTGCTGTCCGCCCTCCGGTTCGGCTGGGTAGTTGGACTCGGTCGATGCCCGGTTCGACCTACCTCGGGTCGACCCATCCCGGTCCGCCCGGGTCCGGTTCGGCTCAACTCGGTCCGATCAACACTGGTCCGACCAATACCGGTCCGCTCCGGTTCGGTCCGACCCCCTCCTGGCCCGTCCGCCTGTCCCGGCCCAAAAGGAGCCGCCCCGCCTGGCCCCACCTGGTCGGCGGCCCTGCTCGGCCCACCAGCCCCCTTCTGGTTCACCTCCTGTTCAGCCCACTGGGCCTGCTGGCCCGCCAAGCTTAGTTGGTCATACTCGGGCCCATATTCCTGGTCCAGCCATCCCAGCCCGTTATGGACCCTCGTATACTGGCCCATCTGTCCCGGCCCACCATTCATAGGAGGCCCATTGGCGTCATACCCAACCATCTTAGCCTTTCCCTTTCGGGCCGCAATTTCTTGGGCCGTGGGTGTCGGTAACAGGCCCGAGCCCAGCCCTAATGGAGTCCGATCAGCCCTGGCCGGCCCGGTGTTCGCCACCCTGCTCCCCTCGGCCCCTTCACTCGGCGCGACCGCCTGAGCCGCCGCCGCCCTCGCCGAACCCGTCTCGCCGCCGGCTCCGCTACCGGCCCCGGCCGCCGCGGCCCTCGCCCCCGCCGGCGCCTCTAGCGCCGCTGCCGCGGTGCTCCCATCTCCAGCCGCCTCTTCCGCCGCCCCCGAGCCGCCGCCCCCTTCGTTCGTCAGCTCAGCCGGTTTCGGCGCTCTCTCTGGTTCGCCTCCCTTTGCCTGCAACGAGGTGATTGCCCTCATCAGGTCCTCCAGCCTTCGCCGCAGATCGTCAGCATCCTCCTTCGCCTCAGCCTGCACTCTTGCCAGGCCTTCTTCGAGCCTGGCTAGCGCATCAGAGTGCTCGTGCACCACCTCCTTCACCGCCTCCAGCTCGGTAAGGTCCTCCATCACCACCTCGTCGCGATCAACACCGCCCGTTCCGGTGCTCCTCTCGGCTGCCTGGGCCTTCTCCTCCGCCGCCTTCATCGATTTCGTTGTCACCATCGTTGCTTTCCCTGGTTCAAGAGTTCAGATGAACTCACTCTCGAGCCAGGCTCTGATACCAGATGTAGGAAACAAGGATTCCTACAGGATGAGAATTGGGGGAATTAGCTAGATCAATTAGGGATTGATCTAACTAGGGATTAGAATGGGGGATTTTTAGAACAAGAAGAGGGAAGAAGAGGAGCTGCTGCCGCAGCTTTGGAGCAAAGAGGGAGAGAGAGAATTCGCAGGAGAGAGGGAAGAGAGAGGTTTAGGATTTAGGTTTTGGTTCTGTTATTGCTTAATCTCAAAATAAGACCCTATTACAGATTATATAACCTGTCTAATTCCTAACTGCTACCCGAATAATAAAACGTAACAATTAACTCCCTGTTTATTCCCCCAAATACCCAAATAATACCCCAATCAATAAAAACCGACTCTAATACGAAATAACCAAAAACTGCAAATAATTGTGTTTCCCACATTAATCATTTGCGCTGTCTTCTGGTTTGTTATTTGTTATGCAGTTATGCTTCATGTCTAGTAAAAAGTGGAGCTTGTATGTAGCTTTTGCATTTGCTGCCTGCCAAGGAGCTGGGAGCTGCTGGGGTTTCGACCTTTGCCTCGTTGCGAAGGCCTCCCTAGAAAGCCCAGTCCTATCTTATTCTGGTGTCTGGTAAACTGACTTGTGTTCCAAACGAGAAATCTATTGCTGAAGTTGACAGAAGCACAGCTACTGTATTCCTAGTTTGAATGTCTGAACCATGTCGCCTAACATGGTAATGGGACGCCATTCCATTATGTATCATTACAGAACTAGCTAACCTGGAACACATTTTGGATCGACAATCATGAATGTCTATGTATTTTGTGCTTAGATTTTGAATGTTTATGGTGTTGTTAGTAACGGTGGATGTTGTTAATAAACTTTTTGTGAAGTGAAACCTAAGGCTTGATCCCTTTCTCATTGATAATTGATACTTTGGTTCTTATATTCAGCTGAGATAACAAACAGACAACCATTTGTGCAACTGCGTATTATGTTCTTTAACTTGAAAAAGGAAACAAGTACAATCATGAGCAAAAAGAAACCGATGGCAATATTAAACAAAACGACTTAACTTAAGCTAAATGGTGCGTTCCGCCTTTGAGTTCAACGGACGAGGAAAAATCGAAATTCATTCGTTCCTTTCCTGTTACCTCCGGCAAGGTGAGGGGAGGAGATTTCACACACCGAGCTTGGATAGGAGATAGCCTAAAGAAGCAGGTGATAAAGGTTTGATGAAAAGATTCGCTAGCTGATAAGTAGAGGAAATATGAAGGAGCTTGACAAGTTTGGACGAAAACTTTTCTCAAATAAGGTGGTAATCGAGTTAAATTTTTTTCGTGTGCTCATAAAAGGTTGGATTCTCGGCGATGTAAATGGCGATTTGATTGTAACAGTAGAGGGTGGTAGGCTGAGAGTGAGACACCTGAAAATTAGCAAGAAGAAAGATAAGCCATTGAAGATCACAAATTGCGAAGGCAAGAGCACAATCCCTATGTTTAACCCGACTTTTAGAAGTGCTTTTCAGCTTTAAAAACTGAAGTAGGGCCAAACACCTCTAAAAGATTATCATTACCATATTTTAATTTTATTTTATAAAATATAATTTTATTACATTTATATCATTTTAAAAACAAAATAAATTATAAAATCATATTATTTAATATAAAAGAAGTCTAACAAGATCCATTTTGACTACATTTTATTGTTTATAATTATTATTCATTGTTAATATTATAAGTCCTTTATAATGATTTTACACAACCTCTCATATTAAAAAATACTTCTAATAGTTTTTACAGTTAAACACTCAACTGCTTGAAAAGTATTTCTCTAAAAACTCAAGTCAGAAGCTGCTTGCCTGCTTCTACAAAAGCTACAACAGGGCCAAACTGAGCCAATACTCTGCCTCACAAGAGGAACGAGATATAGTCTCAAATGACACCGTTAAAGAATTGGACGGAATTAACTATTTTGAGTATTTTTCTATAAGTGGGTATTATTGGTAAAATGCGAAAATTGACTGTACCATTGTATTTTACCTATAAAATACTATTATCCATTTTTACCACTTAAACTTTCATGTGGGCCTATCATTTCAGTCTTAATAACGGGCCTGTTCAATTGAGCCCTTGACCGATTAACTAGTCCGACTACAACCCAAATAAAGCGAAGTCTATTCAAACCCGCATCGAGAAAGGAAAAAAAGAAACCGGCGTGACTTTAAATAGGGGTAAACCTCCGACGATCTGAAAAAAAGGCAAACGATCTATCTTCATCCCGTCGAAAATCTACGCCGATTTCCTCTCTCAGTCACAGTTCAGTAATGGCGACTGCCATGGTGGAAGATACAACTTTCGAGGACGACCAGTTATCGTCCATGTCCACTGACGACATCTCCAGAGCTTCCAGGCTTCTAGACAACGAGATTCGGATTCTGAAGGTGAAAGTTCGGATCTTTCGTTCCCCCGGTCCCCATCCCCGCCTTTTTTTTTCTCTCTCGATTTGAACTGCCATTGTTTTGAGCTCCGTGCTCAGATTTCCTTTTACCGGGGCTGAATTAGGGTTTTTCTTTTAATCTGGTAGGAAGAGTTGCAGAGGACGAATCTCGAATCGGAATCCTACAAGGAGAAAATAAAGGAGAATCAAGAGAAGATTAAGCTCAACAAACAGCTTCCTTACTTGGTTGGAAACATTGTCGAGGTATCTATATACCCTTGTTTAGCCAATTAGGGACCTTCCATTGTTGTGCTTGCTTATTGATTCGCCAATGGTGTTAATATACTCGGAGTTTGGGTTTCCGTGTTGGGTTTATTGTAGATTCTGGAGATGAACCCAGAGGATGATGCAGAAGAAGATGGTGCTAACATTGACCTGGACTCGCAAAGAAAAGGCAAATGTGTAGTCCTTAAGACATCTACTCGTCAGGTGTGGAGTCTATCTCTCTCTCACTTGCCTATTTGATAGAATTTCTGAACTCGTTTGCCTGTTCTGAACCAAAATGTTTGAACTTGTTTGATCGTTGCACAGACTATATTCCTTCCTGTGGTTGGTTTGGTTGACCCTGACAAGTTGAAGCCTGGTGACTTGGTTGGAGTTAACAAAGACAGCTACTTGATCCTTGACACTTTACCGTCCGAGTATGATTCACGAGTAAAAGCCATGGAGGTTGACGAGAAGCCCACCGAGGACTACAATGACATTGGAGGGTTGGAAAAGCAGGTATGCATCTGTTTTTTCTTAGTATGCTAGATTGTAATTCGATATATGCCTAATTGTTGAGCATTCCTTAAGCAATATGGCATTACCAAAACTGCAGATTCAAGAACTAGTAGAGGCCATTGTGTTGCCCATGACTCACAAAGAGAGATTTCAGAAGTTGGGCATTCGCCCCCCGAAGGGGATTCTCTTATATGGCCCTCCCGGTACTGGTAAAACATTGATGGCTCGTGCCTGTGCTGCACAAACAAATGCCACTTTTCTAAAGCTGGCTGGTCCACAACTCGTCCAGGCATGGTTTCCTCGATTCATTTCTCCGTCCCTTTTTCTTAGTGTCTTTCCCTTGTGGAGAATGAGAATTTCTTGATTTAAACTGAGTGATTGAGAGTTCTTGTTGTGGTATAGATGTTCATAGGTGACGGAGCGAAACTTGTCCGAGACGCATTTCAGCTCGCAAAAGAGAAGTCACCGTGCATCATTTTCATTGACGAAATTGATGCAATTGGGACAAAGCGTTTCGATAGGTATGCTGTTTCTTTTACATGATTCCATGGTGTCTCGATCCCCTTGTGTTATTGGTGTATGTTGAAATATCTCAACTTGTTTGGTCTGCAGTGAAGTAAGTGGTGATAGGGAGGTACAAAGGACTATGTTGGAATTGCTTAACCAGCTTGATGGATTCAGCAGTGATGACAGAATCAAGGTTTGTTCTAGCCCTAGCAATTTTTGCCAGTTAGTTCTAAGGCTTGCTTATAGTGATTAACAAAGCCCCCTTTATTAAGGTGATTGCTGCTACGAATCGAGCTGATATCTTGGACCCTGCTCTGATGCGTTCTGGTCGTTTGGATCGTAAGATTGAGTTCCCCCATCCAACTGAAGAAGCTAGAGCCCGGATCTTGCAGGTTTGTTATACCCTAATACGTTTTTAATTGCAGAACCATATGATGAAAAATACTGACAGTTCAAGGTTATCCAATAAATGTAGATCCACTCGAGGAAAATGAACGTTCACCCTGACGTCAACTTCGAGGAACTGGCCCGTTCGACAGATGACTTCAACGGGGCACAGCTGAAAGCTGTGTGCGTGGAAGCCGGGATGCTTGCTCTTCGGCGCGATGCAACGGAGGTGAATCATGAGGATTTCAATGAAGGCATAATCCAAGTGCAAGCCAAGAAGAAAGCAAGCTTGAATTACTATGCATGAGTGAGTGGGGAGGGGGAAAGCATCATAAGCTTGAGAGTGTTTTCACCTTGCATTGTTTATTACTGCCATCTCTCCTCTCTTTTAACAACATTATTAAATGCGATGAACTGGGAGTCTGCGAGTGTGGTTGTGTAGCAAGAATTGTAACATCAGCCTTTAGATGGTGACTGACGACCACTGCACAAGGAGCAACTCCTGCAAAACTCAGCCACTTAATCTGCAGTATTTGAAACAAATTTGGTACGGTGTCGAAATATCCTAAATATCGATAGCAAACTTCAGATCCTTGTAAGTAGTCGTTTTGACTTGTGATGAACATTGAGCACTATGAGTTGCGAGTATGACAGAGTAGTGCGATGTTGGTTAAGCAAGTTATGGAAATTTAGGGGTTAGTAGAAGGAGAGCGGATCCCATGACTAAGGGGGTCCTTAGTCACTTGACTAAGCCCCTCCTAGTCATTAGATTTGGACACTTCAATCCAATGGTTAAAAAGTGGGAAGGACTATTTAATTAATGATAGGGGTAATTTGGGTATTATGGAAAATTACGAAGTATACAAACCGGATTTACAATCAGTACAAACCATACAAACATACGAACAGTACAAACTAGAGCGACAAAACATACAAACAGATTTACAAACATTACAAACGTATGAACTGTACAAACAATACAAACTAGACTGACAAACAATACAAACCATACAAAAAGAAAAAACACCCGGGTTGACTTTGGAGGCTCCATCCCTATATAGAGGGGCTCCTTCCCAAAGTCAACCCGGGTGTTTTTTAGACATACAAACAGTACGAACATGGTGGACAAAAATGACAAACTAGACCGACAATCCATACGAACGGGAAAAACCACCCGGGTTGACTTTGGAGGCTCCATCCCTATATAGATGGGCTCCTTCCCAAAGTCAAACCGGGTGTTTTTTAGACATACAAACAGTACGAATATGGCGGACAAAAATGACAAACTAGACCGACAATCCATCCGAACAGGAAAAAACACCCGGGTTGACTTTGGAGGCTCCCCCTATATAAAGGGGCTCCTTCCCAAAGTCAACCCGGGTGTTTTTTAGACATACAAACAGTACGAACATGGTGGACAAAAATGATAAACTAGACCGACAATCCATACGAACGGGAAAAAACACCCGGGTTGACTTTGAAGGCTCCATCCCTATATAGAGAAGTTCCATCCAAAAGTCAACCAGGTTGTTTTTTAGACATAAAAAACATTACAAACATGGTTGACAAAAATGATAAACATGGTGCACAAAAATAACAAAGTTTACGAACATTACAAAATAACAAAGCGTACAAACATTACAAAATATGTCAACAAACATCACAAAATTGGCACTGTCGCCGGAAAATTCTTCTCCGTCCTCGATGGTCGCCGGGAAAAATTTTCCGACCAGAAACTCTCTCTCTCCCCCTCCCAAAAAACGAACCGGCCGTCTGAACCATTAGATTTTAATGAGGTTCAATTAGAGGTGGCAATTGGATCGGATTCGTGGATTCGTGGATTGGATTCGTGGCTCCATGGATCAAATGGATTGGATCCAATGGATTGGTGGATTCATGGATGTGAACGGCTATTTGCCGCCAACCAAATTGCTATTTGCCGCCAACCAAAAAAAAAAAAAAAGTATATATGTACATCTTTGGTTAATAAATTTCACAATCTACAACATATCCAACTTTCAGAAAACATATTGAATCAGAAAAAATCGATGCTCGCCGGAAAAGTCGCCGGAAAACCATCGGGAAAGCCCATCCTCGACGTAAACTGCGGACACGCATCCATGAATCATCACTAAGCAGGTGCGTCAACCTCCCGTCGTCCTCAATCGTCGGAAAACAAGTAAGTTTACTTTTTCCGACAAGTTTTTCAATTTTCCGGCAATTTTTCCAGTTTTCCGGCGAAAAACACGGTGGGCCGAAAAAAATTTGCGGCCGGAACGCCGCAGGGCCGAAAGAATTTTTCGGCCGGCGCGACGCCCAGCCGAAAAATTCTTTCGGCCCGGCGGCGTTCCGGCCGCAAATTTTTTTCGGCCGGTCGCCGAATGCGCCGCCGGAAAAATTCACGGCGGCGCGTTCGGCGACCGGCCGAAAAAAATTTGCGGCCGGGGCGACGACGGGCCGAAAAAATATTTCGGCCGGGCGTCGCGCCGGCCGCAAAAAAGTTTCGGTCCGGCGGCGCACCGGCCACAAGATTTTTTCGGCCCGGCGGCGCACCGGCCGCAAATTTTTTTCGGCCCACCGTGTTTTTCGCCGGAAAACTGGAAAAGTGCCGGAAAATTGAAAAACTTGCCGGAAAAAGTAAACTTACTTGTTTTCCGACGATTGAGGACGATGGGAGGTTGACGCACCTGCTTAGTGATGATTCATGGATGCGTGTCCGCAGTTTACGTCGAGGATGGGCTTTCCCGATGGTTTTCCGGCGACTTTTCCGGCGAGCGTCGATTTTTTCTGATTCAATACGTTTTCTGAAAGTTGGATATGTTGTAGATTGTGAAATTTCTTAACCAAAGATGTACATATATACTTCTTTTTTTTTTTTTAGTTGGCGGCAAATAGCAATTTGTTTGGCGGCAAATAGCAAGCCCCTTCATGGATTGGATCCAATGGATTGGTGGATTGATCCATGAATCCAAATAACATCCAAGGCATGGACCAAAATGTAAATTTTGAAAAGTTTAGGTACTAAAATGTCATAATGAAAAAATTTAGGTACCAAAACGTAATTTTCCAATGATATTTTTCGTATAAAAATATAAATTTTAGGTACCAAAATGTAAAGTATAAAAAATATAGGTACCAAATCATAATTTGCCATTTGGATCCATGGATTGATCCATGAATCCACCAATCCAATTGGATTTGGATCAAATGGATTGGATTTAAATGGATTGGATTAGGTGGATAATTTGGTGGATGGATTGGATTGGATTCATGGATTTGGATCATAATTGCCACCTCTAGGTTCAATGGTTGAAATTGGCTTAGGGTGTGTTTGGATAAGTGTATTTTAAATGTAAGGTATTTGAAATACTAGCATTTAAAATGGATGTATTTGAAGTATTAGCATTTGAAATACATGTAATTCAAATTCATTGTTTGGATACTCATTTGTAATTTGTTTGTATTTTTTTATTTATGATTTTCAATTTCAATTTTTAATTTTCTGGTCACTTACTACAAATTTTGGTAAATTACAGTTTGGTACCCAAAATTATTTTTTCTTACAATTTAGTACCTAAATTTTTAAAATTTTACAAAAAGGTCCTGAAATTTTGATGGTAAAATTACATTTTGGTACCTTTATATGTTTTGCCTCACACTATAGTACCTAAACTTTTCATATTTTACAAATAGGTCCATTCTTTTGTTAGGAAGTATTTCAAATCACTAGTTGTTGAAATGTATTTGAAGTTGACAAAAAATACACTAGACATGTATTTGGAAATCACTCCATGAATTTGACACAAATCCAAATACCAAATGTAATTAATATCCAAACACATGATTTGGTATTTGAAAATCCAAATCACAAATACCAAATCCAAATCCTTGTATCCAAACGCACCCTTAGTCATGAACTTACTCACCTGATCTTAACCCTAGTAGAAGGGAAAAACTAAAAAGAGGCTCACCCCGGAAAAGGGAATACCATTTTCACAAGTAATAGCGCTGTAACGCCATATTTGCTCTCTTAGTCTATTTTTAGTCTCGGCTCTTCAATTCAATATAGTTACCTGAACCTGAGAACTGGGAATTGTGTTCAATCATAAACCCAAAGTCAATCTTTTCTTGATAGTTTTATATATAAATAATGCATGAATGAACTTCTGAATGGTTTTTATTTTTATTTTTAACAATAAATGAATAATTAAATATTTATGGATCAGGTGGTCGTGTGTGAGGTTATCAATGTAACATAAATATTTTTAAACTTTAATAATTTTTAATTGACACCTCCATACCGTTTGGTACCAAATGAATCTAGAATTCATTTCATTTTAAAATGAATTATCGTATAGAATTCATTGTCAAATGAATTCTTGTGTTTGGTATGTCATATTCAAATCTTAAGAAATAAAAATGAATTGAATTCTCAAACCATGTTTGGTGTACGTTTGTAATTGAATTCAATTAAAAGTTTCCAATATTAATTTTCGCTAGAAACAATATTCATTGAAAATCCATCTTCTAAAAAATGTTTTTGATCCCATACGTAGAATATCAAAGTGTTCTTGTGTGTTTCTATTTTATTCATTAGTTCTTCCGATATTTTGTCAATGAACCCTACATTCTAGTTGTGGCTTCTCAACATATTGAAATAATCAAAGCAGAAATATCAAATAACCAGAATATGCTACTAGCGCTGCAATCAAATTCTTGCCGACGTTTCTCATACTGCATGAACTTGCGTCAAATAATACATGTAGAATTAGTTTAGTTAATAAATGAGGATAAATTATGTAATTTTGTTATAATTAGTAAATTCTTGTGGAATTCATTTGAAAATTTCATCTCAATTTCTCGGAATTGCTATAACTAGCTCCAATTCTGATAGAATTCAAAATTTAAAATTGGAAATGAATTCTTTTAAATACCGAAAAAAATCTATGTAAACGGTTAAATACAATTCCCCTCAAATTTATACTTTTGTATATTTTTAGAAGTTGAAAATGCTATATTCAGAAGAAGAAAAAAACGATAATTACAGTACTATTGTACAGAAGGGGAATCTACTTATTGTTTTCCTTGTTCCCCCTTTCCCGATGCTCTGCTCTGCTTTGCTTGCTGGCTTGACATTGTGAGTTTTTGTTTGACTGGTTGCTTGACTCTGAGAGAGGTTTCTATTTCATTTATGGCGTCATAACCTGTCAGAAACCAGCAATTGAAGCTTTTTGACTGTCTACAGTACATCTGTTTGCTTGTTGACAGACACTCAAACTAATACTACTAGATCTCATTTTGCCAGGAACAGAGGAACTTTGACTTCTTTTTTTTTTTTTTTTAACGGAAGGATAACTGATTCTCAAGAGCAAGACGGATGATGAAATTGTATGATGATTGACCAATGAGTTTACTCTCCCAAGCCAAATAGTTGTAAGTTGTAATTAGGGTTTGGGCATGTGGGTTATTGATCTGCGTTTTGACAATTATCGATCCACAAATAAATCAAATGGCTGACTATGCGTGGGCAATTGATGTGTGTAGATCGTAGATAAGTAAACTCTTGCCCGCACTTACTCAAGTTGATAGTGAGTGAGTTGCGGGTTACCAAATGACCCGCAAAACAATTTCACACTATCTTGTCACCCATATAATGCAGCCCGAAGAAAATTGTGTGTGGATAGCGGGTCAGAATTATACAAACACGTTAGTAAACAGATGAGTGCATTTGTGACCAAAAACCGCACCCAACCAACCCAATGCCCACCTCTGGTTGTAATCGTAGGTCTAAACTAATTTGGGGTCGCTTACATAGAGTAACCGGATGAGATAATTTGATTCAGTTGACTAGTATTGAGATAATTGGGAGAAATTGACGTGATTAGATATACTAAAGTTGGATAGATCAAATGGACTGGAGGAATTTCAAATTGCTCTATTTTAATAAAATTATTATTCTGTGAGTAAATAAAATTTATTAATTATTAGCTAAGCATTATAAACAAAATCGTAAAATCTTTAATAATGTTACAAAGTTTTACCATATTTCATCAGTGTTAGCAATATTAAAAACCAAAATCCACATCAGCATCCACATTAATCTCTATGTCATATACGAATTATAAACCTAAACTCTAACCTTAAACCACTAAATCCTAAATCTTTCAAATTAAAGTAAATCTTGAATAAGTTTTTTTTTTTTTTTTTGCAAATTCATGTGTTTCTGGTTCATAATATTATAAGCGACGATTGACACCGTTTTGGAATAATCGCATGCTCGAAATGACGATTATGAGGTGAGTGCATTGAATGCACTAAGGGGTCGTTTGGAAGTTGTGTTTGTTGAATACATGTATTGTGCACAATACAAAGTTTAGAAGTGCCAAAGTGTAAAATAATGCATGCATTGTTTTAGGTAGGTTCCACCAACAATCACAAAAAATGATGTATTATACAATCTCAACAAAAAGAAATGCATGCATTGTTGTGATTGTTGCTTTTAGATTTGTGTCAACTTTTTCTTTCCATTTATATCCCTAATAGTTTTTGTCTTATACTAAAAGTTGAGGGTAAATATGACATTTCCCCATAAAGTAACTTTATGTAAATCAATGCATAAAATAGAATCTCAACAACCAAACAATGTATTGTTAAAATGCATCTAGTGTATCAATACATGCATTCATATTATGGTGAACATGTGTTACTTATTATTAACCAGTGATAGCGGTTACATTATCCAACGATTGTTTGTCAATAAAAAAAAAAAATCGAAAATCTGTCGATCCAAACTACTCTCTCATCCCACGTCGTCTTTGCATGAGCCATTACGTGTGCTGCTTCGTTTCCTCGACGGGCACTGTTTTGCCAAGTAGCCTTCCCAATCAAGGAAAGCTATCTTCTAATATTGCAACATATAGTACCAACTTCCGTATGAATAGAGTCCGCCCTTGATAACTTTTCCACCAAGCCGAGGCGATCAGTCTTCAAAATAGGGTCCTTCAAATGGTTATGGTAAAAAAAAAACAATGTCAACCCTTTCTCTCTCCCTCTCTATCCCAAAAACCTCTCCAGATCTCACACTGAGATCATTTCCAGCTGCCGCCCGCGGAGCCATCTGTATCCCCCAATCCTGTCTCTACAATAAAGACGATGAGATCACAAAAGATCTTGAGGAGGTTAATGCTATTACTTGTAATGGCCCTGCAGATCACTACCCAGCCGCCTCAGCGACCAGTAAGGGAGGATTCGGGTCAGAAGGCAACACCTGGAAAACCATTAATCCGCCGCCCATGCCACCTGAAGTGATTTTGATTGATGGACAGGGGTGTGATGGATGGAGTAAAGAAGAACCAGGGGGATTAAAGGCGTGGAAAGCGAAGGTTGGAAGAATTAATGGGAGGAAGACGAAGAAACCACCTGGAGCCAGAGCTCAGCAGAGCTATTTTGTCCAGAGGAAGGAGTAAATGCACTGAGCAAATCTGCAGGAAGCTAGTCCCACGGAAAGTACAAGAGCAGATCCAGGGCAACGGGCATGAGCGATTTAAGGCGAACAGGTATAGCCTCAAATGGCCGTAAGAGGGATACCGGCAAAAGGAAGGTTCAGAGAGAGGCAAGTGCAGACCAATTTAATGCCAAGGGCATTTACTGCTGAGGAGGGAAACGAGAAGCACCTGAGTAGAGGATCCCTGGCCTATTTAAAGAGAACCCTCGCCGGAGCGATTCACCACACTCAATTGGCAAAAACCAAAACCAAAACTGAAGTCCCCTGCTCCTCGTCTTCTACCAAAGAAACCCTACCCCTCTACCACGAGAAACACCCAAATACACTCACCATGGAAATGCACTCAAGGAGCCTAAGGGGAGAGAAAAGCCACCTTGTGCTCAATGTCCGACCAATAGTGGTGGGAGCCAGAGGCAGCGAAATGTCGATGCTTCTTGGAAGGTGGGTCACTGATTCGAGCATCAACCTCCAAAAAGCAAGGAATGCTGCCGTGAACAAATGGAGAGCCTATGGGGAAGTCCAAGCAACCAAGGAAGCAGAAAACCTGTTCGTGTACTCATTCCAATCGGCAAAACAGCAAGATGCAGTCTACGATGCCAGACCATGGAACCTCAGTAACACGCTAATAGCTCTCAAGAAGTGGGATGGAGAGCAGAAAGCCGAGATCGAGGATATACCCAAAGTCACCTTGTGGGTCCAGATGCATGATCTCCCCCAGTCCCTAAAAGACGAAGAGGCAATTCAAGCAGTGGCTGCTTTCATTTTTCCTCAGTACCATTGCATCGATCATTCGAACTTCGAATTCAGAGGGTGGCTCAAGTTCATTAGGGTCAAAGTGGAAGTCATCCTGGATGATCCTATACCCATAGGCTTTGAGTACCCGATTGGAGAAAGATCGATCTGGGTAAGTTTCAAATATGAACGCATCATGGATCTGTGCTATTTCTGCGGAAGACTCGGTCACCTGATCCACAACTGCCTCGAAAGAGAAGACCACAGAAGGAGAGGCCTCTGCATTGATCCGTCCGAAGTTTACACAGATGCTCTCAAGCCGGGGGCATGATTCTCCGGCAAACATCCCGTCGGCATCCTTCCGGGAGAAACTGGCGAACATGCGCCGTCTACCTAATTCTGGAACAGGGACGCAGCAAATCCGAGGAACCAGAGGGGAATCTTCCCTGCTAACGCTGATTGGCCACCCGGTGACAGGGTCAATGCCAAATGTTGTATCCAACCCACCTGGGTATGCAGCTTTATCATTGGCAGGGAAGAGTTCAGAATGGGTTTACAGAGGAGACGCGAGTCCATCAGCAAGTCAGCCGACATTACTGGAAAAGGAGATGGAAGCAATTCCCAGGGCTATGCAAAGGGGGCTGGACCTAAGAGAGGGAGACAGAAGCAGGGAGAGGAGTGTGGGCCTCATCGAGATGGGCCTTAGCCTGTCTCTTGCGAGCCCAACTTACACGCTCGCGGACCCAACCATCATCCCGGCCACAATGAACGACCAGGCCCATGTGACCAGCACGCAGGCCCAGAATGTGATCCCAAGATTCGAGACAGCGACGGGGTCACAAGCAGAAGAAGGAAGGCCGAGACCCGAGAAGAAGAGG